TTGCACGTTGCTCTCGCCTCCCTTCCAGATTTCTCCTCTTGGCTTCCAGTTTTCTCATCGCTACAGACAGAAAGATAAGGATACTTTAATAAAATGAGTAAACAAAGCCTTAGTTAATACATTTATGATCTCATTTGTATTGTATAATAGAAGAGGAGGCGGATGTCTTACACCTGAGGTAGTCCTTGTGGATCTTGTTCAGCTTGGCCTCCTTTTCTTTTAGGTGCTTAGAATGTATCTGGTTCAGTCTCTCACTTGTGATCTCTTTCTGGGTCTCGTCTCGCTGCTTCACGAGGTCCTTCAGCACAGCGAGACGAGCCTCCTGCAACCTGGCCAAGCACCACAGAAACAGAGGTTTTTGCATAGTACTGACAGCAGTAATATTAAGTTATTCAGGATTGCTTTATAAGCCCATCAATATATATATGTTGAACATGTTCTTTTCAGTAAGAAATATATCAGCCAAAGCATTGTATGTTTAAAAAAAAAAATATTACAAAATTCTGGCCAAACTTATGTGCCAGCATTTACACACTTTGTCCACTTGGGGGCAGCAAAAACAAGCTTTGACCCCAACACTTACTTAGTCAGAGGAACATTTTATACAAGTTTATTACCAGTGACCATTTACATATAAAAATGTGATCTTTCTGAAGTAAAACCAATAATCAACATAGCTTCTTAAAGCTGTTATATTTTACATTTTAACATTTCCAGGACACAGTACATACAGCCGCACAAGTTCTGGGACCTTATTGTAAGCTTTAGGGTAGTTTTCATCGGAGGAGGCTTAAGATGAAATGAATCTTGGACAAGAGGAGGAGTCTTAAACGACAGCACCAACAAGTTTTAGGTACGTGTGTGGTTACCTTTTGTATTTATGTAGTATATTACACTTTATGTGTAATGTGTGCATGTCTGTGTTAAACTGAATATTCTGACTACATTTTTGTCAAAACTGCAGCTCTCAGCTGATCTTTAAAAAAAAAATCTATATTGTGGTATCTATCTATTTTTTGTACATTTTTTAATTTAATTTAATTTATTTTTTAATTTAAATTGTGTACTGTGTTCACTTTTTGTTTGTAATCTTTGCTCTTTGCTGCTGTAACACCGTAAATGTCCCCGTTGTGGGATAAATAAAGGATTATCTTATCTTATCCAGTTAGACCAAAAAGATGAGTAATAGAGGTTGAAGTGCAGCACTACTAACTTCTTGATTTCCCCTTCTCTGAACTCCCACACTTCGACCTCCATCCCTTCCATCATGCGTCTCCTTTTGTCCAGCTGACTGATGTCATCCAATGGAGGAAGTGAGGCCTCCCAAACTCGTCTGGCACGGGCCCGCTGTATCATCTCCACCTCTGCCAGCCCTGCAGGCAGACCTCGACCTGAAAAGGATTTTCATTCATCAGAGAAGGTTCTAATGTAATTATTAGAAGTGAAGGTTGGTATTGGTCTGTTAGAAGAGGTACAAGTAGACTAATAATCACCAAAAGGAAGAGTAGTCATGTCTAGACCAAGAAGACTTACAGAGAAGTCAGTAACTGGAGAAGAGAGTAATACTTGTTCATGTACCCCAGGTCAAAGCTGCCAGTCGCAGAAGCTCTGAGGGGGTTGTCCCGGGTCGTACCACATACTCAGGGCTGTACGGGTCTGTCTGTGATTCACTTTCCCTGTAGTCGGTCTGAACCCCCACAGTGCAGTGAGTGGGCTGTCGCTCAGCTTTCTTCAAACCAGTGGATTCAAATTCCCCTCTGAGAAGATGAAAAAAAAGACAATAAACCATTGGGCAGCAAAGTGGCACAGCTGGAATAGATGGGAATATGTTGAACTTACTTTGGCAAAGTGAAAAAAACATCTGGGGGAAGTTGCTGTAAGGAGTGGATCATGGGGCTAAAAGTAACACAGACACACACCATCAAAAACTTTTTCAGTATATAATGGAGAAACTATGGAAGCGATTAGTGATCAGAATTCAAATGATAAAGCTAATTTGAAAATTAAAATGCATTAACAGAAATGCTTTATCATTTTCAGAATATTATTTAACTCAAAAATAAAATGATGACTAATTTATCTAATTTGGATTTTAGTTTTCATCTTCAAAAATGCACATTCTTTGGCTAAATTAAAATGAAGAAGAAAATGACATTTTCATTTTCAAAAAATGCCCCGCTAAATTTGTATCATAATTCAAATGAAAAAGCTAATGTTAAAATGAAAATGCATTAACAGAAACAAGTTTTAATTTACAGAATATAGGTGCGTTATAGTCACAGTGTTAAGACTGCAGGCTGGCTAAACTAACCGTTTAAAATATTTCCAGCGGTCTGCTCCGGTCACATGGCAATCCTCCCTCGTCAGACATAACGTGTCGTTTTGGATAACCCTGTGAAGAAGGCAATCAAGAATCACAGCTACGTGCTCATAAGTACATACGGGACACAGTTTATAGTTATTATAAGTACTCAAGAACCTTGAGTTAAAACACTAAGTAACCACTGCAGATTATGAAAATGGTGTATACCCAGCCAGCTGCTGCAGTGCTTCTCTGCGCTGCTCTGTGTGGCCTCGCCAGCGACGATCAATAAAAGTAGGTACAGGGTCTGCAGAGTCCAGTTGAAAAGTATAGCGTGGGTGGTGATGCAGGTTACTGAACATGGACCCAAATTCAGGCACTCTCCTCTGACGAAGGCAGAGAGAAACACTTGTAAACAATCAAAAAAAATGTATAACACTGACTAAAGCCTAGGGCTGAAACGTGTTTGCTTCCTTCAGCTTCTGTTAACTTTATTATTAAAAGTGTAATAATTTATTGTGTTGCTGACATTTTTTTGCTATAGCAATCAATTGACAGTTACTCATCCTCACAGTAACAACTGAGAAAACACATGATTATTGTATATTAGTCATGGTTATGGGTCATGGTGATGGGTTATGGTTATTGGTCATGGTTATGGGTCATGGTTATGGGTCATGGTTATTGGTCATGGTTATTGGTCATGGTTATTGGTCATGGTTATTGGATATTGGTCATGGATATTGGATATTGGTCATGGTTATTGGATATTGGAAATGGTTATTGGTCATGGTTATTGGATATTGGTCATGGTTATTGGTCATGGTTATTGGATATTGGTCATGGTTATTGGTCATGGTTATTGGATATTGATCATGGTTATTGGTCATGGTTATTGGTCATGGTTATTGGTCATGGTTATTGGATATTGGAAATGGTTATTGGTCATGGTTATTGGTCATGGTTATTGGTCATGGTTATTGGTTATTGGTCATGGTTATTGGTCATGGTTATTGGTTATTGGTCATGGTTATTGGTCATGGTTATTGGTCATGGTTATTGGTTATTGGTCATGGTTATTGGTCATGGTTATTGGTCATGGTTATTGGTTATTGGTCATGGTTATTGGTTATTGGTCATGGTTATTGGTCGTGGTTATTGGTTATTGGTCATGGTTATTGGTTATTGGTCATGGTTATTGGTCGTGGTTATTGGTTATTGGTCATGGTTATTGGTTATTGTGTGCAATCATTATTACAATTATTATAATTGTTCAAGTGAATATTTCAGCTATAAATGGAGGTTATGTTTCTAGATGGATTTACTAAGGATAACATAACAATCAAATATTTTTTATTCAACACATGTAATATTCTTACTTGCTATAAGAAAAAAAAACCTATAGAAACATAGGTTGGACATAACTTACAATTCGGTGCTTTGAGGCGTAGGCCTTGAGGCTGGACCTGGCATGGTCTACCTCGGATGACACTGTGTAAACTGGATCTGTGGCAAGAAACAAACAGTTATCATTACAGTCAACCAAATGAGCTAACGTTAAAAAGTAACTTAGCAAATGTTAAAACGCAAACTCCCGTTTGGTTAAGTGTACTTACCATACAGGTAGTCATAAACTCGTTGCCTCATGACAACTTTGTGTTCTTCATGTTTCTTAGGAACTGTGTGAGTGATAGAAACGTTCATTTTCTTAATTTAAGTAGCCTTTGAAAGGTGTTTTTTTTACCCCCTTCAAGACTCTGACAGGCAGCGTTATCAAAGACCTCCGTTAACAGCGTTACCATGGTGACAGTAAACAGAACCGTTTGGAGGTGGGCGGGGCTTATTGCGATGAAGCTCCACGAATGAGGGACAAATACAAGTGTTTCTTTGATGAAACAGCCTGTGGTACTAGTCTTGATTTATGTTTGAATTAACGTATTCCTGTGTATTTTGCTGTTGTATGTTCATCCTCTGTAAGATTTTGTATAACATTTTTTTGTATGTTTTACATTTTTTAATAAAGACGGATAAAAAAAAAAAAAGAATCTCCTCTGACGAAGGCAGAAAGAAACACTTGTAAACAATCAAAACATTTTATAACACTGACTAAAGCCTGGGAAACATGTTTGCTTCCTTCAGCTTCTTTTAACTTTATTATTAAAAGTGTAATAATTTATTGCGTTGCTGACAATTGACAGTTATTCATCCTCACAATAACAACTGAGAAAATACATGGTTATTATTGGATATTGATCATGGTTATTATTGGATATTGATCATGGTTATTGGTCATGGTTATTATTGGATATTGATCATGGTTATTATTGGATATTGGTCATGGTTATTGGTCATGGTTATTATTGGATATTGATCATGGTTATTGGTCATGGTTATTATTGGATATTGATCATGGTTATTGGTCATGGTTATTATTGGTTATTGGTCATGGTTATTGGTCATGGTTATTATTGGTTATTGATCATGGTTATTGGTCATGGTTATTATTGGATATTGAAATAATATCGCGGCGTAAAAAGTGGTGTTTGATTGTCGGTTGTTGTTTTGAACCGAACACGTTCGGAAAGTGTAAATTTGGCACTTTGGGGCCGCCATACCTTGTGACGTGTGCCTGGCTGAGGCTCATGGGTAACGTAGTTGTAAAAGCTCCCCCCCCGAACTAACACTTTGAAAGACTCAGGCCCTTTCCGAATTACATAACCACACAGATATCCATAGATAGACCTCCATAGACTCTCAATAATAGACATTTACGGAGAGGGGAGTGTAGCCTACTTCCGGAAAACTCGGTTCCGTCCATGATTTTTTATTTTTTTTTAAACCCGTCTTTATTGACAAATTTAAAACATACAAAAAAATGTTTATACAAAATCTTATAGAGGATGAAGATACAACAGCAAAATACACAGGAACAAGTTAATTCAAACACAAATCAAGACTAAGGGGGATTATATATAAAATAAATAAATAAAAATCTATCTTTTCCCAAAAGTATGATTTTGAGTATCAGGCAAATATAAGCAGACAACCGCCCCTCACTGTTTCTCAAGGCAACCTTGTAGGCCTATGCATAATAATGCTCTTACAGAAAGCCAGGGAAAATCAAATGTTGAATTGGTGGATCTAGTTGATCTCCTACACACAGCCAGCAGCCTTTGTAATGTGTTGCTGAGGTCAGGAGGTGAAGAGCATTAGCCTACAGACTGTACAACAGCAGCTGATGACAACAATAACAGTCCGTCCTTGACACTAAACTTATAAAACACCCATAAAACACTACCCACATGACCTGCTTCATTAGTATCATTGTATTATTGTATTATTATTTAGGTCAATATATATACATATATACTGTACACTCTATATATTTTTATTATATTATTATACTAGTCCATATTATATAACATTTCATTATATTACACTATATTGTTCATATTGCACTATATTATATTATATTATACTACATTATATTATATAACTGCACTCTGCATCACTGTGGTACAACACTGCCTCTCTTCTCTGCTGTTTACATTACTTGCTGCTAATTATCACACCAAGTCACTTTGATCACTTGTCACTTTATCTTTTCATTCTCTACAAATACTGTCTCAATTCTCAATTCCCCCCAGTTAACTTCATCATTCATTTTGTACTGTATATTTTTATTTTTATTTTTATTTATCTTATCTATTCTGTTTAATGTGTATTTTTGAGCTTTCTTGTCTGTGCTGCTGTAACGCCCGAATTTCCCCTCTGGGGATCAATAAAGTATTATCCTATCCTATACCTTATTCATGTCAATGGAATGATAGTTTTATTTAACTTGTACAAAGAGGTGTCAGTGTGAGTTTTAATTTTAATGTATGGTCAGCTGTCACTTCCTGTCTGATATGAAGAACGCATGAAGGCATTGCTCTATTTGGTACAACTGATCTGTATTTTCTTTGGCGTATTCAAATAAATTGTAGGTTTTAACTATTTTCTTCTGAACCCTTCAGGGCAGATTTTCTACCAAACAAGGTTAATTCTGACATCAACAGGAAGTTTGTGTTATCAAAGGGAAACAGTGCACACATAGGCCTATACACAAAATATGGCACTGAGACTGTGTCAGTCATCTTTTACATATTTTTCTTACCCTTTTCTAATTTGAGGAACAACAGCTGAGGAACCTTAGCATGTGGGAGATTTCTCAACTCTGTGGAAAAGATAGTTTAAGTGCTAAGCATGCCAGCTCACAGTCAGCTGAACTTCTCCTGCCTAAATGTCAAATAAACACCGTCTAATATTAGGAATTGTAGGAAAAGGAGAACAGTCTTGTGACGGATTACTGCGAAAAATGACTCCCTCAAAATAGTGTCATATCTGTTTTTGAAACAGTTCAACCCGAGGATTTTATTTTTCACTAGACATAGCAGTTTAACTGTTTTTTTCTGCAGCATGCAGGAAGAGTGAGCGTACACGAAACAATAAGAAAGGCTGAGTTTCTATCAGGCGGTTTAACGATAATGGATATTATCAGGATGCCTCGGTTCAAGTTGCCCACTTGCAAACCACAAACTCCACAGCGAGCTTGCACATCAAAACCACATTATATACCTCCAATAACTCTGAAATGAGTTGTCAGCTAATCTGTGACACACATAAATAAAAGTGGAGTCAGTGATACTGCCTATACACCCACATTAACATTTTAGAAACAGGACATGTTAGAAAGTCTTTATGTTGAGACAAACAAGCTCCTTTTGTCAAAAACACTTACTCAGCATGAAATATTTCCCCTGAAGTCTAAAGTCATACACAGTGACATTCATGAAAGCTAATTACTTTTTCTTTGAAAAGGTTGTTTTAGCATGCTGCACGGTTAGATTGGAGTTTGGTATCATTTTGTTTTTGTGTCACAGTAAGAGGGATTTGAGTATAAACTAAACTACGGCCTTCAAAGTTTCCAAACAGAATTCACACATCCTTCTTTGTTTCAGAAAAATTACAGCCTGATCTTGAAGAAGAAACCACATTAGTTATATATACCCCACATATCAACACATTCATATAAAGCAAGGCGTTCAAGCCAAGTTATAAAATATATATTTAGACATATTGTGTTTGTGTCTGTTTTGTTTGTTGTCTAGCTTTTAGTGTTGCCTTTGTGAAAGGGTGATCATGTGACAAACAAAAGGAAACTGGTGTGTTGACTTATCAGACGTCATCCTGTGTGGTAGACGGAGGCAGATGTTAAAGTGGAAAGTAGTTTTGTGGATGGGGGAAGAAGAAAAAGAAGAAGAAGGGAGGGATTAGTTAGTCAGATGTTTTTGAATATATTCTTTTGTATCATAAAGGCTTGCCAAAGCATTTTTGAGTTTAGTTCTGGATGTGGTGGAGAACCCGTTCTTATCTCAGAGCTTACACGGCTTCAAAAAGAGAAAAAGGAGAATTATCTACTTCAGTTAAATGACATGACATCTCATGTCAAAACCAGTTTGGTGTTAGTGTTCAGGATTGAAGATTAAGTGAAGGACTTTTTTTTAACTGGAGTGAGAGGACTATATGTTGACCAGTTTGCAGAGGAGCCAAATCACAACAAGCGATGGCGTACATGATGTGGATATATGTCGTGGTTATACTCATATTATCTGAAGCGTGGGGCAAAGTGCCAGGTTTGAAATCATTTATTTATTTTTATGTTCTTTAACAGTATGCTTAACCTGACTATCTACGTATATGCTTGTAAAAAGGAGGCACAAAGCTCGCTCTGGATGCTGCCTCTGTTATATGCATTTTGAATCTGCATACTGTGTTTCTATGTATTGTTTCCTTTTCACCACTGGGTGATAAAATATGAAAAAAATTTGCAAATATGTGTTAGTACAATGATCGGAAACGTTAATGTATTGCAATAAAAGTATATAAAAAAAATCATTATCAGAATATTTAAGGACTATGTGATCGCCTTGTTGAGATGCTAACCTCCACAATGAACTCTTCATGAAATGCTGAGCTGCAGTTTTTAAGTCTACCAGTTGTGATTTGTTTAGACCTTGTGGCACTGATGGCCATGATTGTGATTTATTTTCAGAAACTTTCGAAATAGGTTCAAATGTCAAAATAGTTAATTTCTCTGTATCCTGGGATGTGTTGGTCGACCACTTTTTTGAGTCGTAAACTGTCAAAAGTGTGTAGGTGGCAGCTCTGAGATTTCTGTCAAAATGTGACTTTGACTCACAGTGTAGACAGAAGAGTGGAAAGAACAGAGAGGTGTGCTGAAAGTAGAGGATCTGTGAGGAAACTCTTAGATGTATGAAAAGGTTATCCCCAGAGTTTCTGAATGAATATAAAGCAGCACTTGTTGCTTCAGTGGAAATCTTGGTCTTCATGCCAGAGAAACATGATGATGCAGCTTTTCTCCACTGTGGGGGGTTCTGAAAGGTGGAAGAGACACTTATGTTTGAGGTCTGTGGTTTTTGTTGTAGCCTGCTTCATGCATGGGGGTTTTTGTAAACATCTTTAGAAGTAAACAAGTGTGAGACCTCCTGAACGATCAGCAGTGAGTGAACGTTCATCAAACAAGACAGAATTTTCTGAAACCATTTCAGAAAATAGTTTCTGTCAGAACTAGTCCTGCTGCAGTTATTCATGTCATATCAGTTGTTCTTATACAGTTTTACACCTTAACTACTTTTTCTAACTAATGACAGATTAACCACATTCATTTTTTGCTCATTGAATTAAACATTTTAACCTCTAACTGCTGCTTTCCTGCTGAATAACTCCACACTGTTTTTACTAACTTTCCTTGAACCCACCTCCGTCTCCCTCAGGATCTAATCAAAACACATCTGTGATCACCAGCACTTCTCCTCCTAAAGTTCATGGTAAACTTATCCCCCCTTTTTATATTAAAACACGAGTCAATCGTTTTTTTATGAGACTATAAATAAAACCAGACCATGTCTTTTTAATCTTAGTTCAGATGTCAGAGTTTTTGACTCAAAGGAATCAGCAAATGTGCTTTGAAACATGAAGAAAAGTTTAGTCTGACTTTTTTTTTAGATGATATCGTAATGTAAATATGACTGAGAGTGTAACTAAACTGAAAAAGTTGGACCTGTTAGTTGAAAGACTTGATTTTAAAATGACTGTTCATAAGATTTTGTTGATCTAAAGGTGAAACTAAAGTGATTCATTTTGACTGTTAGCAGTTATTTTGGATCAAACATTACATCACTTTGCATGTTTTCCTCATAGAACAAATCTTAACACACCTTTTATATTGTTTTAATCTGAACGGCATGTAACATAAATAGAACTACAAGTATATTGTGTTTTTATTTTTCGCTATTCAATTGAACTTATCTTATTGTTTTATCTCTATTGTAATTTCTTGCTTTATTTGATTAATGTAAATATGTTTGTTTTTGAACTTTTTGCTATTTTTACTAATTATACTACTGTTTTTGAGCTGCTGTAACAAAGACATTTCTCCCAATGGGGGATCAATAAAGTTGATCTTTATCTTTATCTTCTTCTTGACAGTTTACAGAAACGCATTGTTCAACCAGGGAAGGGATGTGAACCTGACATGCAGCGAGAGGACATGGAATGAGACCTTTTATATAATCTGGGAAATAAAGCTGAAAAACAAAATCTGTAAAATATCCTTTAACAGTGATGGGGGAAGTGAAGACTCCTGCAATGACGGGAAGTCACTTCGTAACACTTCCAGCTCTCAGTCATACCTGCACATCTCAAAATTCTCAAATAACGACGTGGGGGTCTACAAATGCCAATCGCCTTACCGAGGAGGAACCGTGGATGTTATCATCAATGTGAATACGACAGGTAAGATCTTTTTTTTCAAGATTTATTTTTGTGCCTTTAATGGAGAGATAGGACAGTGGATAGATTCAGAAATCAGGGAGAGAGAGAGCAGGGAGAATGACATGCAGGAAAGGAGCCACAGGTTGGGTTTGAACCTGGGCCGCCTCCTTGGAGGAGCATGGCCTCCTTGGAGGAGCATGGCCTCCTTACATGGGGCGCGTGCACTAACCACTGGACCACCAGTGCACCACTAAGATCATTTTCACTTTAAAAGGTGATGGGTTTACATCACAGCATCATATTAATAAAGTTTATCAAATCAAAAATTAAAATATTCTCTTAATGACTTTTAGCCTTACTTAGTCGCAGCCTATTTAATGCATTCATTTAACCAACAGTTTGCAATATCATAGCCTCATAACGAGACAGCTGCAATGTTAATTTTCCTAATTTTGTTAAAGCATCTGTGGGGATCTTTCATTGTGTGTTCATTTTGGCAGCCCTGTGAACATGGTTTCCTTTGCTTCCCTGTCATATCTCAGGCTTCTTCAAACGGTTTTATTTTGAAATGTGACCATCGTCAAGCTGCTGCTTTCATTTGACATTTTCTCTCCGTCCCCTGGCTTTTCTTTTCTACGACCCTGAACCCACTCATCTGCAAATGTTCACCTCTCATGAGTGCTAGAAATTTACTGATGTTGCTTTTGTAAAATTGTACATAATCTTGAAGATCCTGAAATTACCAGCATGAAACCAAAACAACTCGCGATGTAAACAAAGTGAAGATAGGACTCTGAAAACTCTGAAAACATCACAGACAGTGGGACTCGGGTGTTACACCCATTGTAGACAGTCATGACTCACAGAGTTATTTTCAGAGGAGATACTTTTTCTACATTTAAGTGTGAAAAATCATACAGAAAGCCTTTAAGGTCTCACTGTTACGGGCCCCCAACAATAACTTCTCGTGTATCATTTTATCTTCAAACAGTGCTACAGGACCCAAATTTTCCTCTGAGGACAGTTTGTGTATCGAGTTATGAACATTGACCACAGAATCTGTAAATTTCTCCAACTTTCAAATTTCTCTACATAGTGCACCTTTAATATTTTTTTATGTGATTAAGTTGAGCACACCTTAAGACAGATTTCTGAGTCTCATTTCTGCTGTTCTATCTCTCTTTATTCAGTTTGTCCCACTGTGACTATGAGGGTTAAACATGAAGACAACAAGACGGTTGCAGTGTGCAAGGCTGAAAGAGGATATCCTGCCGCCAACATCAGCTGGAACTTTGCTGGGAACTGGTCTGTGGACCCTGTTTCCACAGAAGACGGACTTCTTACAGTAGAGAGTCGTCTGTTACTCCCCGAGGGAACAGACGCAGAAAACATTAACTGTGTCGTCAGGCATCCCTGCTGGGAAGGGGAAAAGCCTTTCAGCCTAAACCACATACAAGGTCAGAGTTTTGAGATTTATAATACGTCTGAAAAAAACACATTCAGCATTTAAAAAAAAAATCATACACAGTGTTAACATCAAATGTCAAAAACAGAAGAGTGTTATTTTGGCATCTAGCAAATTATTAACATACGCAATCTTCCCTTTCTCACTGTAGGTAATGTTCCTTGGCTGCTCATTCTTACTGTTATGATAATCACTATGTTGGTGGCGGGACTTTTATTTATTGCACAAAAGAAACTAAGAATGTTGAGGTAAGAATTATAAATTGAGAAATGAATGAATTTAAATAAGTTTAAGCTTGCTATATTTTCTGTTTGTTTACTTAGATGTGCACTTTTTTTTTTTTTAAAGGCAATGCCAGCAGTCTGACCCCTCCTCATCCAAATCTTCACCAGTAGGTTATCTTTCTGTAACTCTTACAGTTTATCTTCTCTTTTTAAATATATAACATGTCGTGTATAATTCTAATTCGGGGCACCAGCTTAAAGTATAAGCACAAGATAACTAACCTTAGTTGATTAATTAATCTATACATCTGTCTCATATCATCGGCAAATTCTCAAACAGTTGAAACCATAAAAATACACAGACAAAGTACTGAAAGTTTATGGTTTTAACTGCTTGAGAATTTGCTCTGATGATGTGAGATAGATTTATCGATTCATTAATTAACTAATGTTAGTTATCTTGTGCTTATACTTTAAGCTGGTGCCCCAAATTAGAATTATACGCTGCACACACATTACACCTCTCTGTGTTTCTTTTTTTTTTTCAGACAGAGGATGTGGAGGAAGTGCAGCCGTACGCCAGCTATGTTCAACGAGTGAACTCTATCTATAACTCATCTGCCGATTTGTTCACATAAGATTCCACACGTTACACACGCTCGTTCAAATGCTGCATCTGCAAATGCGTCTCTTTCTCATTGTGAGAAACTGAAGGCTTTGAAACTGAGATGTGTTGAAATAGTAAAGAGAGATGTGAAGGTGTGATAAACTTTGATAAATATGGAGCCTAATGACTGATGGAACAGGGGATGTACCCAACAGCCTCAAACTGGCTCCAAAGCACAGTACATAAAACCAGCACCCTGTGTGTGTGGGTGTCAAGAAGAACATTAATACTAATGAACTGCCGTATAACAGAGAATATCATGTTCAGCTGGACACTGATTCTACAAAAAGACATTTCATTGACTGCGATTTTTATCTTGTTTTTTAAAGATATTTTTGGGGCAATTTTAGCCTTTATTGGACAGGACAGCTGAAGAGAGACAGGAATTGTTGTGAGGGGAGAGTTGGGGACGACATGCAGCAAAGGGCAGGGGTCGGATTCAAAAACTAAGGCTGCTGCGATGGGGACTAAAGCCTCTGTTCATTGGGGCGCGCGACTCAACCACTAGGCCAGCCGGCAGCCCTTTTATCACATATTTAAGCACCGTGTGTGAAGAGTTGTTCATCGTTTGTTTGTTATATCGCTGAGGTCAAATTATTAAAAGGGTTAAGAAAAGAAAAAACGCTGTTATTTAATGATTCAAGATAATTTGTGTATTATTTAAAGTTCTCATGTTGTGTCTTTATTTATGATTCAGTAAACACATTAATCAAGAATACACCAGAACACATTCATCTACATCTATTTAAGCTCTAAAAAAAATAAAAACCTACATTGATATTCATCAAGAAAATCAGGTGATCAGATTGACTTATTTATTTTTCAGATGCTGATCACACTGTATGTTTGCAGTTTCATAAGTGTGGGAAGCAGTTGGCCATGTAACCATTGCGTTCTTTTCCTTTCATTTCTGCCTCTTTTTTTTTTACTGTGGTTACCATTTATAAGAAATGAAGGGTCAATGTGACTTTTCCAACCTTGTAAATTTGAGTACAAAAGCATGTGTTAGCTGTTTATCATCTTCAGTTTGTCAAATGTGTGATGATAAACATTACTGAGGTAATGACTATTTACACTTAAGTCTTTATTGTAGTACTCTTACAATGAGCATAAACTCTCTGATGAGAGGAAGAGGAAATGGAAACTTTTAATATGAAGTGTTTCTGCCAAACAATGTCTATTCTTGGCAAGCTACAAATGACAGAGCAACAAGTTGTAGTAAGTTTCATTTTTATTGTTGGGAGCTTGAAACCCTTATTTAGTGCGTCGATTTTATGGTACTATATAATGTGTTTCTTCACTGAGATTTCTTCAGTTTGATTTCTACAAAGGGACACTGTAGAGGACCACTATGATGTTTTATGTACTTAAATAAAGAGAGCACTTAAGCTGCTTTTTTTTGCATTTAAAGTCTTTATATGTGATTTTTCACACTTAAATGTAATAGAAATCAAGTATATCCTCTGAAAATAACTCTGACTGTGAGTCATGACTGTCTACAATGGGTGTAACACCCGAGTCCCACTGTCTGTGATGTTTTCAGAGTTTTTTAAGCTGCTTTTTTTTGCATTTAAAGTCTTTATATGTGATTTTTCACACTTAAATGTAATAGAAATCAAGTATATCCTCTGAAAATAACTCTGTGAGTCATGACTGTCTACAATGGGTGTAACACCCGAGTCCCACTGTCTGTGATGTTTTCAGAGTTTTCAGAGTCCTTTCTTCACTTTGTTTACATCGCCCGGACGGCCGGCTGACTCCTCCCCTCGTGTATAAAAGTTGTTTAATTGAGGGACTAGAGAAAAGAAGAATAACATACTGTACTCACTGCTTAACTGTGTTTCTAGATCACACTCATTTCAGGTAAATTGAATGCAGTGTGAAGACACGAGAATAATAAAGATCGCTAGCATTAGCAAAAAAGGTTGCACAATTTGTTTGCCATCAAAATAAATTACTTTTTATTTGCAACCAGTCAACAATCCTAAATGTTGTAACTGACAGTTTCTCACAAGCAAGTGGTTTTAGTGTGTCACAACACATAAAAAAAGGTATTTACCTCAGTTCAGAAGTAAACCTACACCCCGTCAAGGTTAGTACCTCATCGCCAAATACGTGTATGAAGGTTTCTTGTGGAAAAATAATTCATATTCATATTAAAGAATGCAACCTGACCACTGCCCAAATCACACCAAAACAATTTGGCAAGATTTTCAACAATTAGGCTACTGCTTCCAATAGTATATTCAGGAGGATGTATAGAAGAATCTTAGTTCCCCCTCAGACCTAATAATAATAAAAAAAAATTCTTGAAGTGGATGGGCTGAAAAAAAAAATCACTATCAGCAGCAGTTGTTGATTCAGTAAAAACACAATAGCTTACAACTTACAATAGAAAAGTGGGTGCAATTATTAGTCACAGTCCTCGGATGAATCAGATCATAACTTAAGATAAGGGCCTTTAGAGAGCATACATTTGGATGAATCATGATGACGTGGAGTCCCCCAGGGTTCCATTCTAAGCCCTGCTTAATTTATTCTGTACATCCTTTCTGAGTTAAACCAAACAAGAAAATAATGTTGCATATTAAACTTATGCAGACAAGTCAGACTGATGTAGTTATTCACCTGAAGTGACTATGAGAATTACTATATATACTTAACACCAGAGGTTTGCTATATTATCAGCTTTTCCATCACAACAAATGTAATATTCTCAGGTAACTTGCAGTGTATGTACAAGCAGTAAACGTGTATGCTATGTCCTGCAGTGGGTGGGCGCTTCTGGTGGCTATGTAACACTGTAACACTGGCTCCCAGTTACTGCTGGCATCAAATTTAAAACTCTGCTGCTCGCTTACAAAAAAACATCTCCTCCTTACTTTAACTCTCTGATCCAGGTCTACACTCCCTCCCCCCACTACGCTCTGCCAATGAAAGGCGTCTGATCCAACCTTCACAACAGGGTCCTAAGTCTCTGACTAGACTCTTCTCCTCTGTCGCCCCCCGGTGGTGGAATGAACGTCCAAACTCCATGTGATCTGCAGAGTCCCTCTGCACCTTTAAGAAAAAGCTAAAGACCCAGCTCTTTCATGAATACCTACTAACTTAATGATGATGGTCTCCATATTATTGATGATGATGATGGTAATGACGATGGTTTTTGTTTGATAACGACGACTTATAAGATGGTTTCTATACTGATTAGAGCTCTCAAGAACTGCCCTCAATGTTGTGCTTTGCCTCTGGTCACTTCCTGTCAGCACCTGTGTGTCCAATCAGACTCAAAGCTGATCGTTTGCTCTTACTGACATTGTTTTCTTTTTTCTAGATCCTTGCTTGTGTTGTTCTTACTCTCTGATGTACGTCGCTTTGGATAAAAGAGTCTGCTAAGTGAATTGTAGAATTGTACGTGCACAGGAGGAGGGGCCCAATTTGAATGTTTACATGCTGTGACGAACATTGCTACTGACTCTTTAAGCTAGTGAAGGAAGTTTTAATTCTTCTACCACTGATCTTGGTAATGCACCTTTCGTGTGGAAAATGAATTGAATGGAAAACTTAGCTGTTGTAATTATAACCCCAATTTCCAAAATGTATTAATTGACAGCCCACGGCTTATTGAAGAGATGACATATAGAGATGGTCTGTTTCACCAATCTCTTCGGGGACAGGCTGAGGTGTTAAAAAATGAATCTTCTGCTAAGATGCCCATGCCTTTTCTGGCAAACTGGTGCAAGAGAGATACAATCTGTGTTCTCGTAATTTTGGAGTTAACAAGATACCATAAATAAGCTGAGTTATTAAACATGATGAAGATGCTTTTAGCTACTGTGCTGCAAACCAGTGAAACCAGTTGCTCAGTTGCATTATGTGTCAGGAATCTTGCCTTTGGTGGTAAAAGCTACAGATTCTCACCCAGAGGTTGAGTTGCCTTTTTAAAGAGGTCAAATCTGATAAGTATTTGTCCCCTTCTTTTATTCTTTTTTTTCAGAATAAAGGGGTTTGGGAATTTATGCTTCATTATTAATGACATAGAGACGGGATGAAGTTCTCAGCCTTGTATCGCTTTACAAGCAAGTTTAAGTCACAGATTTTCCAGTAAAGATCTAGATGTGGTCAACACTTAAACAGGAAACATGATTCTTGATATGTAAATGAGTTGAACGGCGCACAAATATCTGACACCAAATTTTGTTATTGATATTATCCACTACACCTTAGTAGACATAATTTTTACCACAGGTTCCTGTTTACCCATCATAATCATCTTCACATCTGCCCATAGATTAACTCTCAGAATTAGGTTGCAGTTGAAGTGCTGCAGGGACAGAAAAAGCTGCATACTCATCATCCACAGTGGAAGCTCTGGTTGATCTTTTTGGTGATGTTGTGGTCACTAAAGGAATATGTTTTAACATATAAACCTTATCACCCTTTCTTTTCTTTTCAAGTACTGATGTGCGATTAAGGCCGCAGTTGGATTTTAAAGCCAGGATGTCTCAACTTCCTGCTGAACTCTTGAGTCACTCGTGGACAATTGGACGGGTTGCAAATGGCTATTATCAGTCTGTGCACAAACAAAGGAGAACCCAAATCCCCAGGCAAGAAATGACAAGCCCTCTTAGCAATCTTAATGACTACACAGTATGTCTCAGTTTTTGGAATAACGGGTGACCTATATATTATAGTCTCTCTTTAAAATTACAAAGAAAAGATATAAAAATGAATACTTATACATTTGTACATTGTTAACCTTGATATTTTATCCCATACTGAAACCCCCCTCTATATTGCAGGCTGGTGTTCTATGTCAATTAAAAATGTATTCATTTGACAGCCCAAGTTAAAAAAAAAAGTGATAAAGTAATTGTATCCTTTTTTATATGTACACATTGATTGGGTATTTTATAATACAATGACAATTTTCACAGTGTTAACCATTGTTGGTGTTGTATTATTGTCTGACAGATAGTTAACAAACTTTTGTCTTTATCTCCCACTGAAGGCATGACTCTTCCCTGGCTGCGCATCTGCACTGCTGTGGTAATCACCTTGTTCTGTCAGGATTATTATTTCTCAGGCACAAGAAAACTGAAAAGGTAAGAACATTGTTAGTCCTTATAGCCATGCTGTTTGTATGCACTTCATACACTAGTTTAGCTGGCCTGAATGTGCAAGCTGCAGAGCTTCAGTCTAGAGCTCAAGTCACTGAACATGTTGTGTCCACCTCTTGCAAGCGACACTTAACCATCCAAACCTTCACAGTAGTTCATCTTTCTGTAAGGCTGCGCTTGTGTGTGATTTTCACTGCACACTTTGTCAAATAGACAAAGAGGATGTGGGGCCCAACTCAAAGGGACTCTTCTGCCATCTACTGTTGGTTATCAGAACATCGTGATCATGAGCTGTCCACGTTTAAGATGTCTCATAAATATTAACTCTTGTAGATAGTCAGATGCCTAATTTCAATTGGAGCTGATTTTGTTTTCTGTAATAATTCTTTCTTTTCATGTTCTGCATTGATAGAGGCTGTAGGAGCCAAAATGCTTGTTTTATTTGATCCTTGCAAGAAACCTAACAGAACACTGAGAATTTGTATTTGAGTATAATTCTGATGCTGAACACTAGGTGAAGTCTTGACTTATGCTGTGCATAAAGCCAAGACTCCAGGTAATTGGATTCAGGTGTGTGTTTCGAGGCATATAGTTTTTTGACTGTCTCGGCCTGTTGGGTTGACTTGGATGTAACAGTTTATGCTTTATGATGTATTGGACAGAATGGGACCTTTATGTTGCATTATTGAACCCCGATCATGAACTATAATAAACGGATTGAAGACTCTATTGGAAAAGAGTACCAGACATTTGTTTGTTGCAACACCAGGTGCACGCGTCCGGAAATAGTTCCACAACTCACATATCAATGGTGACTGCTTTGGAAAATATAGGGTTTGTTTTAAAATGGTCACCACAGAGGCCTTCCTTACATGTTTGTCAAATCAGCAGCCCCCTAAAAGCCAGCAGGGGTCTACAATTTATGTTTGAAATCTGCTATTAAGTTGTTGGCCTTGTCAGCCATTCTGTCCTCACTCTCACATTGATTGTTAAGTTGAAAACAAAAGAGGAAACCGTTTTTGTTTTGGCCTAACGAATGTATTTCTGTCCACAGAACATGACATCCTTGTACTCTCTTGCTTTTTTTTTTCTTTTCATTTCCTTCTTGAAAGGGGGCAAAAAGCCTAACTGAAAGTTTGACCTAACTATGAAAAGTTGTTGATGCAGTTGGTTGATACAACAAGTATTTCTTTTATTTAAAGATGTTTTTTAAAAATCAGTAAAACAATAATCAAGCAATAATCAAGTAGCAAAACATTTCTGGTCATCCAGGTCCTAACGTCCTTAAGGCACGTTTCTAGTTTACATAACTGACTGGTGCCATCGGGCTTCATTGATACGTAAAGCTGAGTATCATCTGCATAACAATGAAAATTTATGCAGTGTTTCCTCATAATATTTCCCAGAGGAAGCATATATAATGTAAAGAGAATCGGTCCAAGCATTGAACCTTGTGGCACTCCATGGCAGTATGCTGCTGTTTCATGAACCCCAATATATAAATAAATAAATGGATACAGGCATACGAAACATTCAAAATGTTAATGTCAAATCATAAATATATATTTGAAGTATATTTGTGTGGTGTTTATGGTTCTCAGACGCATTTTGTTCCAATTGAGCACAGACTTTGATAGCAGGTGAAGGTATATGGCATGGACACAGTTACTGTATATATAAACACATAATATTGTTTAATCATGGACATAACATGTAGTCCCTTTACAAAAAATACAGATTACAAAACTGATACAACAACGTCCTGCATAGTCCTCAACAAACATCAGGTTCTGTTTCCATCATACAATAAAACTGCAGATTTTTTCAGAAAAAGAAATTGCAAGTTTGTCCGTCGTAACATCACAATTGAGACAAGGCTGGAGCCACAGTTTCCTCAGTAAAGATCAAGACTTGGTTGACAGCTCTACTGAATGCTTTGCAGCTGAAATGCAAATGAGTTCTTGGAAGCCGTCTAAAAAAGTATTTTACATAATTTCCTTCCTTTTGCCCCGTTCAGCCCATCAGTACATAATCATCTTCACAATCGCCTTTAATTGCGCCTCCAGACTCATGTTGGGGTTGGAGCGCTGCAGGCACGTAAACTGTTGCATAGTCACAATCATCCACAGGGGCAGCTCTGGTTGTTCTTGATGGATTAGCAGTGCTGTGGTCAATAGAGGCATACGTTACATCCTCGTTTGGCTGTCGTGAAATAACACACAGTGAGAGGACAGTTACTTGGATCTGAACATATGGTTGACATTATTTATTCTGCCGTTATACTGCGCAACTAGAATGTTTTTCAGATGTGGTTAGTGGCTGTGACTTCCTGGAGATGAAACAAACAGCACCACAGTCTCTTTACGACAGAGGCCTTACATTTATGTTCATTCAATATGCAAATCTAACACAGTAACAACTATGGCAGGCCTATCATAAAAGCACAGGAACCAAAGGCTTTGCAAATTTAGTCCAAACAAAAAAGACGTAATATTGATGTTTGAAAGCCTACCTTTGTATTCATGCTGTTCTCATGTTTGGTTGTGGAGTCCCCTGAAAGAGAAAACAGAAAAACAATGAATGTAACTTTGTCAAGGTTCGCCATATATATATATTAACTATACTATCATTTGTGTAATTACCTTTCCTTTTCTTCTTGGTCCTGAGAGTAAGAAAACACAACATTAACCACTTTTCAACAGAACAATAAAACACACGAGGGTGGAATTTATTTCAAAGGCTTTTAAAACATGTTGATTCTTCTTTCAGGTAGACAGTCTTAGAAATCACAAAGTGTCGTCATGAAATGAAATCTGCAACTGCTATTCCGAGGTGTTACCCTCCAGTAGTTTCCTTGACAGCTAAACAGATGACGGTGCATGGTGCAACAGGAAATACTTTGCAACAGCTTAAAACTCACTTCTGTCAGTTTCAGACTGTATTTTACAGTTTTGTTGAATCGTGTGTGTTATTTCCTTAAAGCCTAACTAGGGTCAAGGACTGCAAATTAGCCATGGCTCGAGGTCCTATATATGTCGCATCAGTTGTACTTTACTTAGACGCCTACATGTAATGTCCTGGTCAAATTAACAGAAAATAAATAAATAAATAGATGTGTCAGTGACTGAACGCACAGGGGAGACATCTTACACCGTGTTTAAACAAACATGTATCAGTATCACAGCAAAGATGACAGTTATCTACTATGTGTTATCTATTCATGGCAGCAAGATCGAGTCTATTTTAAGCCAGTTGCCACAATTTCCTTGATGAAAAAAATGCAGAAGCTGCATGACACATGCTCAAGTGCATCAAAGCTTTTGGACAAATATTCAACTTAATGATTACACTTGTTTTGGGCATATTGAACAGTTTAAGAAAAAGCAGAAGAATGAACGTATTACAAGCTGGATGATAATAAGGGACAGCTGAAATTGCTCTTAACTTAGTGCATCGAATAGCCACTTACCCTGAAGAGCAGTTTCCCATGTTGTGGCCTCACAATCTGGATTTTCACTCAATATTTGGCCAGCAGGTGGATGGTACCAGTGCTTGATCTGTTAGGAACAACTTCACAGCTTGACACTGTGGTAGACACTGACCTCACTGATCTCTCTGCTGCTTTATCTGAGTGCACACATACACACCACAGTGGAGAGATAAAGAGAGAGAGAGAGAGAGAGAGAGAGAGAGAGAGAGAGAGAGAGAGAGAGAGAGAGAGAGGGAGGGTTGAGGGGACAATGGCCTGTTTGTTTTATTCTGATTACCTGTCACACAACACACACTTATAGATAGATGTTCGCTAGTAAACACAGATCTAACTTTTGGTGCTATGTAGCTTATCTAACTAGAACAACTCTTTGTTATAATCATTAAAAGTGCTTGAAAACTAGTTGTGAAGGTATTATTAAAGTCTAAATGATCAGCTTAAAGTAATGAAGTAACAGCTGAAATGATTGACTTCAAGTAACAGATAGAAAATAGCATTAGTAAGCTAAACATAACCTGAGTAATACATGGTTTCAATGGATAAGAAAGAAAGGAGAGACAGATTAAATAGTTAGCTACAAGGAATGGTTAACAGCTGGAATAGTTAGCCACACAATGCACTTTCAAAATGTGATTGAATCACTTGACAGACTGAAGAAACAGTTGAACCACCTATCTACCAAAATAATTAAAAGCTTGCGGTAGTTAGCTAATATGTCTGAATGAGCTGTTTCAAAACATAGTTAGCCTACGTAGCATGAGTAGAAAATACAGCTTTGGTGCAACCATCATAAAAAAAAGACATATCAATGGTCCTTTGTTCTTGTATGAGTCCTAAACATCTGCACGGAAACATCCTGCTTTCCTAATAGGTCCAGATAGGTGAGGCTGATCTCTTTATGGAAATGTTTGCTATTGTCGCTGTTGCTCGTCTCATTTGATTAATTTTGCAAATTTTGTCAATACCGAAACATTGAAAGTCATTCAGCTGTTTTTTCTTGTACTTTATGGATGTAAAGGTCAGAGACATTTCCCTATAATATGCAAAATTGTGGTAGTTTTAGTACTCTAAAAACAGCAACTCAGTACAATGACGTTTAAAATCTGTATTTTAATAATGTCCATTCATGTAGACACAGCTGTTTTCATCAATTAGCCACACAACTTTTTAGCCTTTACCATAGTCTTTAGAAATACATATAAATATGTAACATATACATTTATGTGGCAAGCCATTCAGGAAATTAATATATTGAATATTCATTCCATATATTCAAGTTTTCATTCAATATATTCAGACTTCATTCAATATATTAATTTCCTGAACGGCTTGCCATACATTTACATATTATACATATTACATATATTAAAAGTCAATGGCCTCTACACATGCAGTGGATAGTACAACATCAAACACCGGAGGGCGCTGTACAACAACTTTAGGTGTTTACTACTGATCAGGAGTATTCACTCTGATTCTGATAAAGAATGAAAGCTGCTGACACCCTCTACTGTTTGAACTGAGTCAAGAAAAGAATAACATACTGCATCCATATTGCAACCAAGTTTCAATTCTTCCATAAACAGCACTGTGCTGAAACTAGTTTATTCCAACAGCCTGCACTCTAACAGACTTTTTAGCTATTTCTTCATCTGCTGAGCTGCAGAAATTTGCACTGATTGGATAAGCGGAGCAAGCAGGCATGTTATTAAATCATGAAGATGAGGAGAACTGTCAGTTCTATCTCTACACTGATTAAAACTGGTTACAAGTATGCAGCCTGTCTAATGCAGTGTTGATTCTGCAAGTTACTTGGAAAAACTTAACCCTGTAAGTTTGTATCTTAGTTTTTCTGTACAGGATGAACTACACCAGTGTAAAGAAGCGTTTCTGTAGGACCCTATCACAGAGTGAAACCACAAGTATAAGACACAATTTGCAATTTTCACTTGTGTGTACACATTATAAGTTGTGTGTGTCATGATAAACTGAAAAACCACACTTGTGCCGGATGGTCTTAAGAAAATCTGTAGGCGGGTCAGGAAGTGGTAAACATTGTCACAGGTAAGATAAGCCCATGCAGCGGCCACATTATCTTTAAGATCTCAACTCATGAGCATATCAAGCATACCAAATGGAAAGACCAATATGCACATATCTGCTGATTTTAAGCAGTTTGACATTTGTCTTTGTCAATGGAAGACGTCCAGGTAAGCCTCAACTCTCATATATCTTCCAGTATATTTAAAAAAAAATGATAAGGGTAATTATCTTTGCAGGCACAACTGTGGCAAAGAAGACGATAATACAGTCTTGGTTCTCTGTTGAATCTCCATCGATAAAGGAATGGTTTAACTATTTTAGAGACATCTCGCTTAATGAAAGATCATTAGCTGTAATTCATAAGGCACTGGCTTCTTACAGGCTTGGGATTTCCTTATTTCAACTCTTTCAGATTCACTGTTTACTTGAATTATATGTAATTGTTGATATTTTACAGATTCATCTCCTCCCTGTAAAGTCTCGGTGTTGTTAAGGAGGGGAACGATGTGGAAAACTGCCCCAGGACAAAGTCTGACCGTCACCTGTCCAGTCAAACACTGTGGACAACCATTGAAAGTCACCTGGTGTAAACTCCTCCACACGGACAAATGTGAACAACTAAATCACACAGAAAATGTGGAAGTGAGACAGAATAACTCAGATCACAAGGATGAACTAATGTCATATTTGACCTTCAAGTGGATTTCCATTCATGATGACGGCCTGTACAGATGTGGTTTCAAAGGACACAAATACAAGCATATCAGTTACATGATCAACATCTCTGTTTCAGGTAGATTTCTCTCCTTCTTTGCTGAAATATAGACATAAGATTGATTTTTTTAAGTGTTAATTCTACTTTTGCCATCTTAATCTATAGACCTTTACCAGGGGTTTCAAAATGTGCATCATGAAGCAGGTAAGAACTTTATCTGATAAACTTATGCACATCAACATTTTAAAGAAAAATAGAGTACTTCCTCTTCTTATATGTCTTCTTGTTTTGTAGATGCTGTATCTCACGTTGCACATGTTGAGGAAGTGTCCTGGCAGCCCTACAGCTTCATCTGTGTTAGCATAGGGTTTCTGGCTGCTACATTGACCGTGTTGATGCTCCTCAGATTTTATGGCTGGAAAAGTAAGAACAAAAGTGTAATCAGAGTTTGAAATAAAGTGACACATTTTCCAAATATTACCAACTGACCATTATTTAATTATCATTTATCTTCTTTACAGGAGTACTGATTGTGAACCAGACCAGGGCACAGGTAAGCTGATACCAGGTCGCCAACTTAAAGGGACAGTCTCTAATAACAAAGATAAACAAACATGTTTCAGCCCTATAAGCTCGAGTAGTTTGAGTTGAGCGCCACAGCTAGTGGCTCTTTCTGGGAGTGCATATGTTCCCACATTTCCTTTTTCATAAATTTGTATCAGTTAGGGTTAAGGTAACTTATCGTAACCCTACCCTGTGGGAACATAGGGCCTAAATTTGAGAAAATTCTTAGAAATGTGGGACCATTGGGCTGTGGGAACATAAGGCTGACCCCCTGTTTCCAGCCAGAGGTGTCAGAAGTATTCACATTCATTAATCAGATAGAAGTATAGATACTCGGGTTTAAAAAGACTTCTGTAGAAGTTGAAGTATCAACTCAAGCTTTTTACTCAAAGTGTAAAAGTACTGGTTTCAAAAATACTTAAAGTATAAAAGTAAAAGTAATGTAAGGGGAAAAAAATGCCATTAAGGACAAAAGCTTAGGCCGCGCCACAGAGGCCTATAGTGCACTACCCCACCTCCCCAAAAAAACATTTTTCTAAAGGCCATAATGACTTCAATGTTATATTAAAATGTTAATTTTTAAATATTTGGGATGCACCTGTTTCAGCTGCATTGATGCCATTGAAAATGAACGCATTTTAGTACAATTCAAATACATTAAAGAACCATATATGTGAACTACTGAGCATTAACATGTGTTTCATGGAGCTGAAGATATGATGACTAGTTGCTCTGCCACGGACATCTTCGTACTAGGCTACATACGTCTGCTATTTCCTTGCTGGAGTGTGAGGTGATTTGTGTCATGTGCAGGTATGATGGATCGCGTACAAACCAATAGGGTGTTGGAATGGTATATGTTTATACTTCTCATCCAACCACAATCAAATTCACTCTATCTGGATGGCATGATTTATCTGGATAGGTTTTTGTTTTTTTGTGTGTTTTTGAAAGATGACAAGCCAGAATGAAACAGGAGTAACGAGGCGATTTTTGTAAGAAGTAGAAAGTAAAAAGTCGGCTGAAAAATAATAATTACTCTAGTAAAGTATAGATACCCAAAATTTCTACTTAAGTAAGGTAACAAAGTATTTGTACTTGGTTCCTTGACACCTCTGCTTCTTGCTAGATTAAATGTTCAAACATGAGAGTGGTTCTGTCTTCATCCTAGAAAGACACATAAGGGAATTGGTAAAAATCCAACAATCGCTTTAACCCAAATTCAAACCCAATTCACAATTATGTAAAGTGAGTGTATTTTATTGGCTTTTTAATCCTGTTTGGTGTATATTTTGGTGTTTTAGGAATTTTCCTGCCACAAGATGACCAACCTTCCCAAGTGGACAGCGCCTTCCATTCCTGTTCAGCCAGCCAACCTCTACAGTCTGAATGAAAACCACTCTCAAACTGGACTAAGACGAACATCACAACCTCCCCTTACAACCAATAAGAACCAGCTGGCTGTAGCAAACCCATCAGATCAAAGTCCAGGGTTGCAGCATGTAGTGTATGCTGTCATTACCCGACAAGCTGTGATACCTGCCAGAGAGCAACATCACCGAACTACAGGAAATAAAAGCACAGAATATGCTGCCATCAAAGTTTCCAAATTCATCAGATGAACACATGCAGATGAACACGTGCATGGAAGAAGTGAACAAAGTTTGTGGCGGTGTCATGGAACAGATCGTGTTCAAAACCAAGACTAGAGAAGAGGTGGACGGTGGAGGCGTGTGGTCATGAAGCGAACGGTTCAGAGAATGTCAATTTACCTCAGCTGGCCTAGAAGCAGCATTGAGGTTTTTTCTTTAAGCCTCAGGTTGCTTCCAGACAATGCTGCTTTTATTTGATCAATTTCTCGTTTTACCCACTTTCATATCTTTGTTTGGCAGTTTGTGTAAAAAAAAGAAATAATAATAATAATGGCCAATTTTGGATAAAATATTTGGCAGATCTTTGAGGAATCAGTTTGTAATTCAAAAGTGAATGTTGTTGTTTGTTTTTTCTTTGTGGGACAGATATGTAAAAGAAAAAGGTTTGCCCATAGTTTATAAAAATACTTACCAAGAATAAATGACATAATGAGCAAACATATCTTCAAGTTTGATATTTTATCTTTCCATGCAGACCTCTCTGTTTTTTCACATCCACCAGAGGAAACTCGCTCGTCTCTGGTTATAGACGTACAGGAAGTGACATACCGTGTGGTATTAGACGCCACACTTCTGTTCAACCATTGTTTACAGACTGAGACCCCCACAGTGCAGAGACAGTGTATCATGGCTGTATAGGCCCATTTCATGTCTGTGCCTTATTGAAAAGATGAATTATATATTAAACAAAAAACTATTTATGGGCAGGTCTCCAGCAACATTAAAAAATGGGGGAAGAGAGTTTGCATGGGTGGTTCAGCTCCCTGACAAATATGGCAAATTGTGTTATCTCAAGCCTGGTTTAATCTATGAAAAATAAAGCATTTTTCATAATTATTCCCTCGGCTGTGGAGCGACCTGCCTGAGGATCTCAGACGAGCTACATCAGTATCTTCTTTTAAAAACACATTTTTATCATAAGGCCTTCTTATAATCCTTGTTTCATGATGTTTTATTTGTTTCACTGTTAACTTTAGCCAATCTTTGTCTCAGTTGTTTCTCTTCTCTCTGTTCATTGGATGATTGCTGCACTGTTGTTTTATTTTTCATGCTTTTTTAATAGGATTTTATTGTTGTGTATTAGACTGTTGGGATTTTTCTTTTTTTACGTAAAGCACTTTGTGACGTTGGTTTTGATAAGTGCTTTATAAATGAACTTTATCATTATTGTTATTATTTGTAATAATTAACCAAATAAATCCATGACCAAATGCCGTATTCCTTATCTCTTGTCCTTCAAGATATTTAAATCATTTGATTAGTTTCACAAGTAAAGTGTGACTGCTTTGCAAACAAATGAAGTAAATAATGCTGCAGATCTCAGGCGAACCATTTGCCTGTTTTGATCTGGGTGATAATATCTCATGTCAGTGTGAGAGACATGAGAACAGAATCAGAAACGCTTGGACCGACCTTTTTAGACCTTCCTCTGCTCATCTTATCTCACCCTAACTCAAGAAGTTCTTATGATGTTGCGCAGTTAATTCATTATTTCACACACTTCAATCGAATTCTCACAAATGTCCTTTCATCAAGAGACATCATGCAAAGACAAACTCCTGAGTCCTGTGACCAGCATGGCTCTAATGGTCTTAGCGTTAGTTAGCTGATATGTTTTCTTAGGAGAGGAAGGTGAAAAGGTGAAACTTGTGTTCAATAGTCTCTGAAATCGTGGGAAATTTAAAAACTTAATTTCCGTCTTTGGGTGGAAATTTTCCCCGTCAACAAAAGTCTCTGGTAGAAACACAACCCACACAACATTTCTGCTCTCAAAGTCTATCCCTCCCCATCTCTCTCTCTCTCTCTCTCTCTCTCTCACACACACACACACACACACACACACACACACACACACACACACACACACACACATACACACACACACACACACACACACACACACACACACACACACACACACCAGCAGTAATCGTGTTGTTCTTGTGGTGGACAAAGCCCTGTTTCAGACCACAGAGCGATGAAGAGTTTGAAGGCTTGTGCGCAGGCAGCATTTGATTAGACCTGATTAGATGGAGACTGAGGTCATGCAGAGAGTGTGAGGACTAGACGTACTGCAAATAAATAAACCACCTGACCAGGTGTGGGCTAAAGAAGCACTGTATGTTGAGATCTTTCATACAAAACTAAATTAAAAAAACATGTCTCTGGAAGATTCTTAGACATTTATAAATGTCATTCATGTCATTTAAAAGTCTAAATCTGTAGAATATGTGATTTTTTGATCCAGCAGATGTCGCTCTTGAGCACCAGCATGAAACCAAAACAACTCGTGCTGCATTGTTGGGTTAGCATGCTAATGCTAGCGATCTTTATTATGCTGGTATCTTCACACTGCATGTAAATTTACCTGAAATGAGCGTGATCTAGAAACACAGTTAAGCAGTGAGTACAGTATGTTATTCTTCTTTTCTCTAGTCCCTCAATTAAACAACTTTTATACACGAGGGGAGGAGTCAGCCGGCTGTCCTGGCGATGTAAACAAAGTGAAGATAGGACTCTGAAAACTCTGAAAACATCACAGACAGTGGGACTCGGGTGTTACACCCATTGTAGACAGTCATGACTCACAGAGTTATTTTCAGAGGAGATACTTGATTTCTACATTTAAGTGTGAAGAATCACAAAGCCTTTAAGTGAACAGTGAGAGGGAGGTCATTTTTTATAGATTTGCTCTTACCAAGGAAACTGAAGCTAAATTACATTTGCACCCTTTAAAATTGTGTTTTATGCATATTTTAGTTCCAGAGCAACAGAGAATTGTGGAAGCAGGTTCTTCAGAGTTTTGTTAATGGACACTTTAAACACTTGTGAACTGACTGGACTGCTGTGTTTTGTCCAACACTGTATTTATTGATTGCATAGATGTAACGTGGACATTTGAGAGATTATCTTTTTGACATGCAATAGGTTCATCTTGGTGTTCTTGATTTGTACTTTGCCTGTTATTCTGCAGTCATTTATTTCTAGTTTTTGTCTTTTTCTGTTCTGTCTTGGACTTTGTTTAAAATTATTTAATTTGAGTGGATTTTAAACTCATGATTGTATGAATGGACCCCAGGACGAGTAGTCGCCACTTAGGTAGTAGCTAATGGGGATCCAAATAAAAAACAACAACAACTGAAAAAGATACACAAGCAATCAGGGAAAACAAATCAAATCAGAACAGAACAGACATGTGCTGCAGGCTCTGTGTCTGAGCGTGTGCACAACATATGTGTGTGTGCACATCACACGTTTGGCTCTGGATCTAAAAAGCCACAAAGAAAGGAGCATCTGGAGTCCAGCAGGTCCGGTACATCAGAGGGTCATTTCATATTTTCCATATTCTTCTGAAAGATACAAAGAAAAGTCAAAAAAAGACACAGACAGATTTAACACTTTTATTGTTCACTTTGATGCATACATATATTTGTTCCACTTTGCACATTTGGTCAGGATGCATTGATTCAAATTTTGTGACTGGAGTTATTCTGCGAAGAACTGGTTAATGTGTTTTTCATTTCCATTTATTGAAAACATGTTCTGAAGCTATATTTCTGCTCTGAAATATCTACTGCTCTGAGCTCAAACTGGGTGGTTTATACATATAAAGTGAAACCATGCAGACAGAGAAAAAGCTGTCTCGAGTCTTTGAAATCTTAAGAAGTGTGATGTTCCTGATTGAGCACTGATATTGAAATCTGATGGCCATCACATGTTTATTTGAGGGCTATCAGATAACACATGATTCCAATTATCATGTTTTTTTTTTTATTAAAGATTAAATGTTTCTGTACACAGCAAAACATTTACCCAAAGCATCACAAGGTCACATTTTTAGGCCTTTAAGTGCCACTTTGATCCAGAGTCATTTACCAAAGCAAAGGCAGGTTTAAATAAAAAAACAAACAAACAAGAAGAAGAATCTCCTTTAATGACATGTTGATGTCTTAATTTCATTAAAATGTTATTTCTTCACACACATAAACCTTCCAGACTGTGTGATGCACACACAGCCAACCCAGACACGCATTCCTTTCAGGGGCACCAAAAAGGTTTCAACATGGCTACCTCAGGGAATTGATTCAAGCTATGACTGTGGAATTTAACCTTGAAAAATATGCTACACACACACACACACACACACACACACACACACACACACACACACACACACACACACACACACACACACACACACACACACTCTCTCTCTCTCTCTCTCTCGCTCACAACATACACAAACAGACCTTGAAGCATGTAGAAAAATCTGCAGTAGGTATTACACAAACAAGATGTAAGTATGCAGCCCTCTCAGTTGAACATGGCCGAGTTCAGCGAGCTTTTAACAACTCACAGAAGTGATGGAGGCCTTCAACTGAGGTACAAAAAATAAAAGCAGTCGCGGCGAGCTAATTGTGCCTATAAACTGTAATATATACTCGATAAAAGTTTGCAATATTACATTTTTTCCAATTGTCAATAAAGACATGAACAAAAGCATTGGTCCCTCTGCTCTGGAACTAATCTGTGTTCACAATTCAAGAATATGGAGAAAAAATAAAGACTCAATTATAATTTAAAACATTTGGACACTGCAGTTTTTCTTTAGCAAATGTTAGTCAAACAAGGGTAAATACGCTGGGGACTATATTCAACTGCAGAAGTTTGGTGCTCTATACTTGAGCACATTGGTGTGTACTGGTTTGACTTGGAAAGAGTACATTGCCTATATTCATATCAGCGCTGCATGTGGCTTGTTAGTGTAGTTCTACAAAGTTTGTACAACAATTCACAGGTAGAAGAAAAGGCTGCTATATAGACTAACAGGACAACATATTTTGTAAGATGTGCAATATGCTGCAACAGCGAAAATCACTCTAATTTCATTTGGCATACAGTGAATCTGCTGCATGTTGAGGAATGTGTGACCAACAACTCAATCAATTACAAAAAGCCAGAGAGAGAAAAAAACACACATCCATTCAGCGACTCCTCGTTGACTTCATGTGAGGACAGCGTGGAGATTATGTAAGATTCAGATTAAGGAGCGCAGAGATGAATGTCATGGTACAGTTGTTGCTCATAAACAGGATTGTATATGACATCCTATAGAGACTGTGTCAGCACATCTTCCCTTTGTATCCGATGATGATGATGAAGATGATGATGCAGAGAAACTCTCATGTTGGCTGGGAGAAGCTCTGCCTCTTCTTTCAGTCTCTTTCTCTCGTCTGAAAGATTATTCAGCTGAAAAGAAGCATAACAAAGCTTTCAATCTAGTACGGACCATAAAGGTCAGGTTTTCTGTTGGCCCTCTTAAGCAGTGGTGACATTTCTCTCTTACTGAACTCCAGCAGAGTTTTAACATTTTAATTTAAACCTCCGTGATGTGTAACTTAGAAAGCTATAATAGAATCAAAATTATTATCATTCAG